AATAATCACAGCCACCCAATTTCATATCCATTGATCAAGATTAATGTGACCACTTTGTACCAAAAGTAAATAGTCTCATTCTATATTTGTCCATAATAATAATAATAATAATATTGAACATTAGAATTTTATATATTTTTTATTTAAAATCATGATAGCCTAGAACATGGATCTCTAAAAATTGACCCAAATCCAGCCTAAGTTAGAATTAGTGGGCATGCCACTCATAAAAACCCCATCTATTTTTTAAAGATAAAGTTTATATAGAGCCGATGCTCTAAACAATGAAATTAGCTTACCTAAACATTTTCACTAGAAGAGGTTATTTCGATGCCCAAATATCCTCAAATTGATCATCTTAACATCAAGATACATGGACATGAGAAAAAAAATTGATTTCAAATACTTGAAATAGTGTATCTTGTAACACATTTCTCATTGTCAATTTTCAAGTTTCCATAGATCTACTCCATCTATACTATTTTTGAAGCTTTAAATTTTTATAATTAAAAATAAAAATATATTTAAAACTATCACAAAGATTTCCAGTTTTGAAACTACATTTCTCGATACTATTTGAAGATGCGCCCACTTTGGTTGTTTAGAAACCCCACTTTTTTAAATAAAACACTGATGGTTTCTTTTAGAGTAAATATCTATGATAAGTAATGTAATTAAATTAATATTTAAATGTTGGGGACGTAGCTCATATGGTTGAGCGCGCTTCGGATGCGAGAGGTACGGGGTTCGATTCCCCGCGTCTCCAATATTTTTGTTGCCCACAGTTTCTGCATGCACGGCATCAATTTTGTTCTTTTTTTGGAAAAACTTTAGAGAAAACTATATATATATATATACACGTTATAGTTTTTATTATTATCAAAATACCGCCCACGGTTTTCGGCATGCACGGCATCAATTTTGTTCTTTTTTAAAAAAAATTTTAGGAAAAATTATGTATATATATGTTACAGTATCTATTATTATCAAAATACTATATAGTTTCCATTATTACTGGAATGTCCGTTTTTTCACGTCATAACAAAAATTTTTAAAAAAGACTTTTTACCTTTTTTTGGTTTTTGAACAACCGACATGGCTGGATTTTCGGTTGTTAAAAAACCGAAAATAAGCCAATTTTGGTTCTTAAACAACCGAAAATAGTGGGGCTGGTTTAAACTTCTAGAATACGCAGTCTTATTTTCGGTTGATCAACAACCGAAAATAAGAATGGCTTCTGTCATATTTTCGGTTGTTCAACGATAAAAAATAGAACATTTTCTGATGCTAAACAACCGAAAATAAGACTGCATATTCCAACAAGCTTATGGAATATGCAGTCCTATTTTCGGTTGTTCAACAATCGAAAACAAGACATTTCGGTTGTTCAACAACCGAAACTAAGAATGCAAATTCCAAGCTTCTTCTACCTATTTTCGGTTGTTCAAAAACCGAAAAAGGGTAAAAAAATCGTTTTAAAATTTTTCGTTATGAAGTAAAAAAAACGGACATTCCTATAATAAAGGACATTATTCGGTATTTTAGTAAATAACGAAAACTATAATGAATATATACGTAATTTTTCTCAAAATTTTATATAAAGCAGAGGCATTAAACATTCAAATTAGAGCCCACCTCAAAAGTTTTACTAGAAGTGGTTGTTTTGATGTCCAAATATCTTCAAATTGATGACATCAAGATGCATGGACATGAGAAAAAAGTGGATTTCGAGTTTTGGAAATTGTGCATCTTGTAATACATTTTTTGGACAGTCAATTTTCAAGATTTTCAAGTTTTTATAGATTTATTCGATCTACACTATTTTTGAAGCTTTAAATTTTATAATTAAAGATAAAGATATATTTTAAGGCTATCACTTAGATTTCTAGTATTGAAATTTTCGATATTATTTAAAAGTGGGCTCTACTTTGATTGCTTGGAGCCTCAGGTCCCCTTTCTTAAATTGCTTTTCCACTTCTTTCAAAATGTTGCAATCAATGGTTACGACTTATTGAATGCAATTATTAGCCTTTCTTTTTGTCCGATTCGTTGTCCGCTCATTTTACAATTACTGAATGTGTCTTTTAAAATCAGATGAAATTTCAAGTTTCCCAGAGGCTTCCAAAAACATATAAATGCACATCTCATTCTTTTCAAAATATCTTTTAAAAAGTTTCTTCCATGTTTTAATGTGCACATCTTTTTAAAGGTTCTGGAAACTTTTCTTCCCTTTGTTGATTTGAGATTTTTAACTTTTAGTTTTGAGATAAGCTTATTAAAAGGAGAATTAAATTATGAATCTTGATTCAACAAAAAATTTCATAAAATTTCACAATGTATTAAAAAAAAAAAATCAACATATTCCAGGAAAAAAACACTCCGTAACATTGTATTTCCCAATAAAAAGAATTTTAGAGTCAGAGGAAGAGTAACCTAGTTAAAAATCTGCCTTTTTTTGTGAACCAATTGCCTCACTGCAAAAAGGAAAAGCTAGCGATTATGTTACAACTAAATATTCAGCAGTAGAATTCAAAGCGCGGTTTGATTATTTGAGTTTGTCGATACATTGCTTAGTATAAGGAAGCCTTGTGTTAGTTCTCTCTCGGTGCATGAGTTTGAATGATATCAATTTTTTGGGCTTTCTATTACTTCATTGGTGTGCAAAACTTATCAATTTGAATTGGACAATTGTTTTATGTTTTTGGATTTTTGACTTTTTTAGGAAAATAATACAAAGATAAAACTTAATTTAAGCTCAAGGAGATCACAACCTTTAGATTTCAAATCGTGTGGTTGTAAAGATGTCATTAACTAGATTCTAGTTCAAAAGAACTATCTCGAACTTCGTGATACACTCCAAGTCATTCAATTTGATATTCAATGACTAGGAGTAATTGTGACCTCCATGTTAGAAAGAATTTTGGGCTCACATTATACAATCTTTTTTTTTTTTTAGGTAAGTTAGTGGGCAGAAGGCCCCTACCCATTCATTAATAAAGACTAAAATAATACATCATTTTACAACCCTATAGAAGGGCAGTTGCACTAAGCCATATAGTAAAAGAGAGTAAAAAAAATCAGATGGACGACAGCGCTAGATAGTGGCACCAGAAGTAGCAATTGCTCCCTTAGCGACGACATCAGCTACCATATTAACCTCATAAAAGGCGTGGGCAATAGACCAACTATGAGTAGAGTATGCTCCTACAATTCTCTACAATTGTCTGTAACCACCATAGAGTATATGACTTCGATTCTGAACAACATTCACCAGCAAAGTGGAATCAGTTTCTATCTCAAGTGGAAAACATCCCCTCGTAAGAGCTAAGAAAATACCCTTTTCAAAAGCCGAAACCTCTACATAATTGTTAGAGGCAATGCCAAAGTACTTAACAAATGCAGCAACAAAAACCGCTATGATGACCCTACTACCGCATGATGACCCTACTACCGCATGCTAATCTAGGATTTTGTAAGGAAGCCCCACCAATATTGAGCTTGTAATTCTGAGCTTTAGGAAATGAACACGCCAGCGGGCTCACTATATACAATCCATTTTTGTTAAATGCATCCTTATAATGAGGTTCTTTTTTCTTTTCTTTTTTTTTTTTCTTTTTTTTTTTTGACAATTTCACTTAATTTTATTGAACTAAAGGATGATCACAATTGCATCAACACAACGGAGTTTCATAAACTACAATATTCTGCGACGCAATAGCTCTCTTGGCTAGACCATCTACTACTTCATTAGCCTCTTCGTAAAAGTTTCAAAGAACCACCATACTACGGCATAGATCCATAATTTACATCCAAATCGCTCTTAGCCACCAAGGTCGTCTGAACTCCTTATTACACCAATTAATCACATTAAGAGGATCCCTTTCAACTAAGAAAAATCCACCTTCGTGCGTCTTCAGTACAAGCTTAAGTCCTTGTAGAAGAGCAATAAGCTCTGCATTATTTGCAATAGTGCAACCACACGGTCCAACAAAACAAAAGACCACAACACCTTCAAAATCCACTAATACCTACTGGCCTTGGGTACCAAAAGGAACTCCCATCAAAATTTAAAGTTACACCTCATAATATTGGGGGATCCCACCTTCCTTACAGTCTCACCTTAACATAAACTCTGGATGATCAAATTAACCAAATTTAGAGCTACATCCACCTTAAAAACCCCTTTAAAATTAGAGCTGAGTGGGCGAAGAGAAGATGTGCAGCCGAAGTTTTATATGATCATCACAAACCAACAAAGCTTAAGGAGAAGTTTTATAGGACAGTTGTGACACGAGGTTTGCTTTATAGGGAAAAATGATAGACAATCAAGATATAGGATGAGTATAGCTGAAATGATGATGTTGAAATGGATAAGTGACAAGACAAGATGAGAATAAATAGCCTTATGTGGGTTGGTCATGTGCAACACCAATCCAGTACCACACTTGTTAGGAGATATGAGTTTAAGTGGAAAGCTCAAAAAGAGCAAGGGATAAGACCGGTGAGGGAAAAAATATGAAGACTTAAGGCCTCACTGAGGATAATGCATTTAATAAAGCAGAATGACACACCAAGATTCGTGTAACCAACCTCAAATAATCGAAAAAAAACATTGATGGTGGTGATGATCCATCTTAGAAATCCCTACCCCTTCCTTAGTAACTAAAAACCCATTTCAAATAGATTGTAACACTTTATTTTTAATTTATTCCAGATCCAACACAACTCCTTCATATGTTCTCTTATTCCTCTCAAACCAAATTTCCCATAAATTTGATGCCCGAAATGTCTTCCAAGCCACCTTCCAAGTGTAGGAAACAACAGTCGGTTCCAACCAAAACCGGAACCTCCTGGTTTCAGTTAGCCCCAACTTTGAGGTACTAGTAGGGAATACACCACCAAAAAACTAATGGACCAAAACCAATTGGAAACTACACGAACCAGCCGGTTTTCTGCTAGCCATACCGGTTATTTAGCAAACGCTGTAATAACGTAAATAACGGACGTTATATACCCGTTATTGGCAACAGTGGCCATTATTTGCTGCAACACCCATATGATTTTTTGTTTGATTGGATTTTTCCTACTTTTTAAGTCAATTATTGACTGAAAATAATTGATTATCTGCTATAAAATAATCTATTTTCAAACAGAAACACAGTGAAATCATTTTTTTTTGTGTTCTTCACAGTTTCGAAAAAATTGGCAAAAGTACAGATTGTGGCCTCGTTTTTTGTTTTTTCTCAATCAAAACCTGGGCCTTTTATAGATCACATAGTTAGTTAGACGATTGTAGTCCAAATTTCAACGAAAATTCGAGATTTGGCGCTCGATTTTTACAAATTAGGGCATCGTCTCAATTTTTCTGTACTGTGCTGAAAAAAATCCGGGTAAGCTCCAGCCCGAATTATTTGTTTTTTTTTTTTTTTTTTTTTGGAATTTTTGGAGCATTGGGTTTTGGTATTTCAGTGTTATGAAACAATTTTATTTTATTTTAGTGGGAAATTGATATTTGGGTTTTTGTGGGTTCAAGGCTTCAAGCTACTTCAAAGGATGGGCCGTTAAGGAAAACATTTGAGGTAAGAATTACTCGGTCTTATTTATGGAAAAATCTATTTTTTTCTGTTATTTTTTTTCTGATTTTGGTGATTTAGATATGAGACCATGAGGTCAAAGTGAAAATTCTGGTTTATCTTTAGCGATAAATCGCAGTTTTCTTCTTACTGTTCATAAGCTGATGCATAAATATAGCTGTTTTTTTTTATCTCATTTTTATAGAAAGATTGAATTATGGACAATTTGCAGTGATCTAATGTTTAAATTGATAGATTCAGATTCAAATTATACCAATTTCTGTGAAATTCTCCATTTTAACTTTTTTAGTGATAGGATGAATGACATCTTTGAAGAACTTGTGTTGTTAAAAATTCAAATATGATAATTATTGCTACTTCATCTAGATTGCATTCATACTGGTGAATCATTATGAATTTGGATTGCAGATTATTGTTAATCAGCTTGTGATCTTTGCCTATAGCTATTGATAGAAATCAAATGTCAGATAGAAATCAAATGGCAGCCCAACACAAAATGAAAGTATGAAAAACTTAAAGTCCAACACAAAATTAAAGAAAAAAAATTCGACATCAGATGTACCAAAGGATGGTATTATAGTGCATTTATTTGCAAGGTTACAAATATCAGTTATTCTTAGCTCTGTCATGTGTAAGTTTGTGAAGTTGTAAGCCTGAGACTGGTTTGGAAACACTTTCATGCCTTTTGGTCTTATGGTAGCATGCACGCACAATTCCCACAAAGTTCTCTAGTAATTCAACGAAGTCTACTTTTCAAAGAAGAACAAGAATGCTGGTGCATGCCATAATGTTATTCATGATCCCCCGGCATTTTTATGTTGGAGATATCTATGATCCTTATAATTAATTTTCAAATCTGACAAAAAGAAAAGAAAAAGAGAAACGAAGCTCATTGTGAGATGCTCCGATGGCTGATTGTGCTACTTTCATGCAGGAAAGCACTATATAATTGAAGGTTTGAGGCTGAAGTGAAGCAAATGTGGGAATATAAGTGGTAAGCAAGAATTGAAATTCTAAAAGTGGGTAAAGAACATAAGTGGTTGCTTTTTATCCTTCAAGTTCTAGGTATGCAGTAGCGATTTCAAAACTCAGCCATGTTGACTCGAGCTCGGCTGAATACCTGTGCTTTGACACCCTGCCGAGGCAAGTTATTTAGACAAACTAGGGTTTCTTAAAATTACTTAAAAAAAATAAACATAAATAAATACTGAATCACTAATAGATTATGCATATATATTTTCTATGTGTTTTTGTTTATGTTCTTTATGATGATTTGGTGTTGTTTGCAGCAATGAACATGTTTTCCATTTCGTTCTTTCTTCTTGATTTAGCCACTTTTTTTCTACACTGTGGTGTCAACACATAAGAACTCGTCAAAAGAACATGAAAATCTGGAAGTTTTCAAGATTTACCATGTTCCCAAATGCAAAACCTTCAATCACATTCTGAACAATTGAAACAGCAGCCAGTTCTGTGCTCCCCAATCTCCCCACAAATACCACTATTACAAAGCTGACCGAGAACTGAAGAACTGTTGCTAAAATTGCCAGGCCTGCAATATACCAAGGCTCTTATGCCCCAAATTCTTCAACCCCACACATGGCCCCTCGAAACCCACCTCTGGATTCGAAGCATGGACCTCCCCCATAGCCAAAACCAGGCCAAAATTCAAACCCAAATCATATATTTAAGTCCACTTTCGGGCTTTCCCACCATTGAAAAGCCATTATCACTTGGTCAAAACAAAACCCAGTTGCCAATTTTCAACCAATTTTGAATTGGTTGAAAATGCCAACAATTTGGTAGAGAGATGATTTGAATATATTTGCTTTATTAGTGTTTTTTTGCACGTCTCTGTCAAAAGTAGATACCTATGAAGTAAGGATCGTGTACTGTTACATAAGCGGAGGAAGAATTTGTGGGGCTGGTCTTTGTATATATCCCTCCCTTATTTGAAATTTTGAATGGAACTTTTTGCTCTTGTTTGCTGCAGAATAATCAATCTCTATCACTTTTTTACATGAGGCTCATGATTAATATACATAGACTTTAGATTATATTTTATGACTTAGAGCAAGTAATGCAATTCCACTGAATAACTGTACTGACATGGGTGAAATAGTTGATCGAAATTCAAAGAAAATTTAATTTACAAGTCCAATTTAGTTGCAAGAAAATTCGAATTTGGTTGCAAGACCAATTCAGTTTGGTTGGATAGTGAAGCCATTGGGTGCTTCAATTGATCCGAGGGAAGTCTTTAGGCTTTAAAAGCAACATTGTGGAATTCAACATATATTTGTCCAAAATGATTTAGAAGTACAAACAAAGATATTTTTTGAAAATGTTAAAACAGTAGTATTTACCAAAAAATGATAAAAAAGTTAAAAAATAGTAAAAAAAAAGTCTACCTTTGGAAAAATCTAATTGTGATTGGGACGTTTTCGAAAAAATCCAGATTCCAAAAATTTTTGAGACACAATATTTATAGCCAAATTACATTCCAATAATTGCCAAAAATCATAGAAAAGTTTTAAAAAAGAAATATCCCAAATTACAAAACATATCCCAAATAAATTTCTTATTTTTAAAAATTTATTAATGTTTTAAATTTTATTATTTTTTGAAACACTCCATGAGCTTCGAAATTTATAAGACATTTATCAAGGTTAAAATATTAATTCATGAAAATATTTTTATGTAACGGTAATAATTTTATCATGGTAAAAAATTGAAATCTTTTCGAAATATTCAATTTTTCAATAAGTTTTAATGAATTTTTATGTTGAGGAAAATTTACAAGAAAACTAAAAGATGAGGAGGGGAGATGTGGCATGACAATATGGCATAAAAGTGAATGACAAGAGAAAAGTTGGATGTAATTTTTATAACAGAGAAATGGGTGGCAATATTTTTTTCCTAAAAAACCACCTTGTTAGGGTACAATGCAATGTCACATGTTGTAAGATATGGGTGGCAATATTTTTTTCCTAAAAAACCACCTTGTTAGGGTACAATGCAATGTCACATGTTGTAAGATGTGATAGCGGTAGTAACAGAACAAATGTTAAAATTACTTACGGATAAAAAAAAAGAAGGTGCAAAGATAAAGGGATGCAGCGGAGCTAGGGAGGGGTATGAAAGTCCCTTAGATGAGGTTGATGACCAAGAAACAGAGTTCTAGGCGCAAATGGAATGGGCTAGGATTGCCAACCTCCAAAAGTTAAATTATAGAGAAATGAAAATTCAAGAGATGTATGGTAAAAAGATTGGTGCATCCTCTTGCCGTCAGCCTCAATAACTCGATAGTATCGAGTATGAGAGGATGCGGGCCTTCACTACTTAGGTCTACATCTAATAAATAGAGGCGTAGTTTATTTAGTCGTTATCATCTTATAAACGGTCATCTACTATTTCACTGACCTGAACTCATAGACGTGCCACCAGTGACGCACGAACCCGTTGGATTTGACCCCCACATGCCACAATACCATCAGAAAAAAATAAATTTTTCATCAGTAGGGAAATTCTTGAAAAATGCGAAAAACATGATTAACATGTTTTGGTATACTAATACACTGCCATTTAATTCTGCGAACTCAAACTACTAACCTTAGATGGTATCTGTTATAACTGCTGCACGGTCGGTTTCAGAGCTCCAACTGCAAAATACCTTGTAGGGCCATGTTTGGAAGATGTTCTCCATGATGTTGATAAGCATATTGCGTTGTTTATAGTCTACTAGACATGCACTAGAGTGACCATCATAACAAACGGTTGAAAGGACAAGGCCCACATACATCTCGTTAATTTTTAATAAGTTCCCCTAAGAGCATTATTTATCACTCTATCATTGACTTATCAAATAAAAAACAGACTGCAAAACTATCATAGACCCACATGGAAACGATTGTAGATGAGGTTGGGGTTGAAAATGTAGTACAAGTAGAGACTGACAATGCTGCAAATTATAGAAAAGCATGGTTGTTGCTAATGGAGAGAAGACGCCATCTTTATTGGACTTCCTGTGTTACCCACTGTATTAATTTGATGCTTAAAGACATAGAGAAACTAAAGAGGGTTAAAAATGGTATTTTGAAGTGCAAGTTGATTGCAAAATTCATATACAATCACATGTAATTCTATGCTTTGATGAGAGAATATTGCCTGCGAGAGATTGTCAAGAAGTCTAGTTCTAGGTTTACCACAGTATTCCTTACTATACAATCAATGTTGGGCAACAAACCAAAATTGAGATCAATGATACACTCTAATGAGTAGCAGACTGATAGGGAAGTAATGAGTCAACATGAAAGGGAGATTGAAAGCATCATTATCTACTGGAAATTGTGGGCTTGATGCAACCATGTTGTTTCTATAGCTGAATATGTAGTACAAGTGTTGAGGTTAGTTAACTCCAATAATACACCAACAATGGTTTTTTTGTTTGGTGCAATGAGACACACAAGGGAAGCTATAGTTCAAAAAAACATATGGATTGATGAGATATTGGCGTTCATCGATCATAGGTGGAGACACCAATACATCATAATATCCATGCAGCAAGTAATTTATGATTCATCGTCATAATTCATGTTTCCATCTCAACTTTGAGTAAATTTGCCGTAACTAATAATATAAGAAACTATGTGCGGGGTTCTTTTTTAACCTACAAAACTTGTACTCCAATGTCACATTAGATTATGTAGATATTTGTCGGTTTTTTTAAATGAATTATTTTCTATTGTTATGTATTTCTATGTTTGTCTATGTCAGTACAATGATGGATGATTCATAGAATTCGAACAAAGCAATTATAAAATATTGCAGTCAAAGTACTGAGTCAAACATATACTTCCTAAAGGTGTGAGAGAAACTGGAGTACATTCCAGTAGATACATGCCCCTAAGTAGAATAGGTTAAAGACTCATACGCTATACAACCTGATGTACATTCACTACAACTTGAAATTGATAGAGACAAATAAGGAAGACCCCACATACTACATGTCGATCAACCTTGATTACATCTTCCAGAAGGAACTCACCGATGAGTAGGTATTGCAAATGCCCACTACTGGAACCATACTTCTTTAAGGGAGTTGTTGTCGATATGATAATGCAGAGTTACAACACCCAATGAAGGAGACATGGCATATGACATAGACACCGATTATAACAAGTACACGGAGGACGAAGATGAGGAGCAAGATGACAAGTCAACAGATGGAGCAATGGAAAACAATTTGCAAGGTCCAATCATGGAGGAATGTGAAGGGGCACAACATTATACAGTGCTCGATGTACATGAAGATGATCCACTGAGATTGGTTCGAGAGGAAGTCTAGGCACGAGGCATAACAACTACTCGGTATGGGAGGGACGAAGTCGTAGTCAGCATTGTAACCAGTTTGTTTCTGATGGTGACAATGTCGAAACTGCTGAGGGCCGTAACACAGAATAATGTGGGAGAGACCACAAAGGCTGGACGAGTCTAGGAGACTTTGGTCATTATTAGTTAAAATTTGTAACTCCCTCAATCAAATTAATTTCAAATTCTAAATTGTCTTGCATATCTCTCTAGTATTCATATATTAATTTATATAAAAAGTTGTTTAAGTATTATTATTTTTTTTAACATAAATGTATATAATAAAATAATATACACTTAATTTATATTTTCTATTATTTTTTATTTTTTGGGTTTTTGACCCATTTTAAAAAATATTTTACTGGACCAAACCGGCCCGGTTAACCTCCATGTTATAGCCCGGGCTTCCAACCTTATGTACAGTTAACCATTTCAGTTTGATTTTTCCTACACCTTCAAGCCATATTTTTTTTTGTAACTAGGGTAGTTCAGACCGTGTAGTTTTGAACTGGGTCACTTGCTTTAGAAGTGATGGGCCGGTTTGCAACTTCCACACTTTCTGAATTTTTAACCCGAAAGTACCTAGCACTGGTGTTCTCTTGTGGGACCATGTTGTAAATGTAGTCT